CACTTGACCAACCCCTAGTGTAGAGAATAAAACAATTTTCTTCTCTCGTGACTAGTAATTTGATAGTGATGAGCCATCAGGAGATGCATCTATCTAACAATATTCGTCTTCTCACTGCTTTGTTCAAATTGATGGATTCATATGGTTGTTTCGCATACTGAGTTTGTTGTTGTACTTCATATGTGCAACATTTTAGTCCTCACGAATTCCGTGACAGTGATCAATGTGCCATCTGCCAGTTTGTGTAATCTTCCCGACAAGTGAGCTGATGGACGTTCAGCACCTAACTGGTGACACTAGTGTCTCAGAGTTCCTGATTATATTTCAAGAGTTGTTATATCTGGAAATGTTCAACTACCACACTCATTTCAAACGGAACATTTTGATTTCTACTTGTGATGCTCAAGATCAACCGTCACCTTTTTAACTAACTCACTGTGGTGTGCATACCTCCTGTCCGTGGTTATACATTTGTTTTGAAAAAGAAGCCAACTAAATGTAGTCCATTTGGGCAATCTAGAGCAACGCATAGTTTAGGGAGCCTTGCCATTGGCATAAAGTTGAGCCATGAAAAAAGTAATCGTTATCTGAGGAACTGCCATGCAGTGTTTGCCGAAAATTACAAACAGGCCATCCACCCAATAGTCTGGACACAAAGACAGACCACTTGTTCCAACAAGGTTCGAACATCTACTCTCATTTGCACACGAATTTAATTTCCACAGGAGACTCACTTGAATCCAGCTCTGAATATCTCGTTTATGATGACTTGCCTCTATTGATTATGCTGCTGACTCAAATTCCAGTTGGTACTTTGTTCGAGATACCATAACACGTTACTTTCTAAACGTAACACACTACTCATGAGGTTGCTGAAAACACTTCGAACGCCTACAATCGGTTTTGCCTTTCAACTTCGGGTTCTTCAGGTGAGCAATGCCAGTGAGACAAGAACTTATAAAATAGGTCATCAAAAGTCTGATTGCTGTTGGTGCTATTCGTCTTCCAATTTAGAGACTGCACGCTCCCCACTGCGCCTGGTTGAAAACGCCGCAATACATAGCCAATAATCAATGCTAGTGAGGCTCTTGTTGTCCAGATTGCCTGAATGAGTGTCTTGCGGCGTAGGCACCTTGAAGTGATTGCAGTAAGGTAAGCTAGCGCCCCTTCCCCCTTCATTCCCTTCATTCTTCACAATAAGTATTTCAAATAAATCATGGTTGAAGGGCGGCGAAATATCGGTGCTGAATATTAGTTCAATGCTGTGGATGATGATGATGATGATGATGATGATGATGATGATGATGATGATGACAGATTTGTCAACACTTTCCAAGTTTGGGTTCAAGAAGAACATGAGATTGACGGAAATCGTGGAATTACCCCTACTTGATGAGCCCGAAGGGGAAGGGCGAAGCCGGTTATGGGCTGTCAAAAAGCCGTCAGCAACATTATACACAGTGCGTTATGCCTCAACAACAAGGTTTGAACAATTTTGTGGTCCTATATCTTGTCCGACTTCTTCACTGGAGGTCATCTTTAGCCTTATCAATCTGATTGTTATGGACTCTCAAATTGTTTGCTATGAAATGTCCGTTCAGGCCCATGATGGGCCCTAATCGAAAGTTCCAATCAAGACCGCTGTTACGCCAAACAAAAACATTAGCTGGACGCTTACGTTAAAACGTCGTACATTTATCACCTGCTATAGCAGTAGTTCAAACTTCATTTCCAAAGGCCGGACAACCCATGTAAGATCCACGTGACAGCAACGTGCACCTGCAACGTGTGTTTACCGAATCCGATCGTCCTACTCGAACGCACTACATGGTTAAATTCACCTACACATTGACGAAAACGGCATCCAGACAGGTTACAAAAACCTGATTCGAAATGATTGATTGAAAAAAAACGGGTACGACACACTATGATGCACCCAAAGTTGTTTAACTCAAAAGTACACATGATCTATTTTCACAAACGGAACTACACACTAGGTTGCTGAAAACCTTTCGAGATGAGTCGCTTATGAGTGTTTGTCGATACACACTATCAAATTTGAATTTAGCGGGAAGTTGAACTAAAGTTCTGATAAATCTTCCGTTATATAATGCATTCGAATGGATGTTGCTTGACTGCCCTACCGCAAGTGCTGGCTTTAAAGAGCTTGTGTGGTGTCTTGGTGAATACTGTGGTAACTTTTGAAATTCAGCGACTTATTTTGCAACTTTCCTCTACATGGAAATTGCCTAATGAGTTACAGTTCGTACAAGCACTCGAAGATTGTCAAAGGGGTTCGAAGTAGCACCAACACCCGGGCTTAGAAGCAAGATGCTATCATTCTGTGGCAACGGGGGAATAGATTCCTCCCAGTCGCTGAATGACGAGGAACAATTTTTTTTGGATGGCTCGTTCTCTATATCCCACGTGCTTACCCAGAAAAAAAAAGTGCCCTGGACTTGCCATCGGGATTTGCGCATATTCTGTTTTGGATGGTCGTTCTCTCTATCCCACGTGCTTACCCAGAAACAAACAGTGCCCTGGACTTGCCATCGGGATTTACGCATATTCTGTGAGATCGAACTAGGGACTCACACCGAAGAGGTTTCTCTTTTCCAGGTCTTTGGGTACAGTGCACCACAGAAAAGGAAATCATACTCAAATTCATCGATAATAGTTACGGTTACTTCTGGACTCACTGGACATACATTAACAAAACTCTTATGGGAAATTAAGGTGTGCTCCTGAAGTGGCCAACACAGGAACGCCCATCTTACACAGAAAATTTAGGCCAAGAAGCCTAAGCAAGTAGTGGAGAACACATCAACTGTTGCGATCACCCTGATACGTCTGGCAAGCTGTCCACAACTAACTAGGATTGGTAAACTAATCCCATAAATTGGACACTGTTATCCAGTAAATCAGGAATACTTCTTAGAATTCTCTCACAGGGTAAGTCATACGTGATACGATAAATACGGGAAGCGATGAGGCGTCTGAAAGCGTAGTGAGTCCCACAGGGCCAAATGATCAGAACCATGAGAGGACTGAAGTGGCGAGGTGTTAACATTTCTTTCACTGCCATTGGTTGTCCTCGTAGAACAGACATTTATACGATTGGCGCATTATAACAACAATGAAAGGATTTTAGAAGATATTTGTAGGGTTAGCGATTGGTAGTCCGGCAATGGTACTCAGGCGGGCAGACGTTTTGAGTCAGCAATTTAGTCTGTTAATTGCGGATTGTCCCAAATTAAGTTGCGTTGCCTTGCTAACTGCCCGTAGTCACCATTTACGACACTTGATTCCTTGTTGTAAGCTGACAACTAGTCGCGAGAGTTGCGAAATTCATGTTCGCATCGTTAACATTTAGACAGTTCTTCTCCTGGCCTTGTGAAACTACTCTCGTGAGTCCACATCAAAGGGTGAAGCAGCAGACTTGAGTTTCTCTCTAATTACGGCTTTGAACTTCGGACATTTGACATGCAATGCTAGCACGCTGGATTTGCCTGAAATTATCACATTTTAGCAGGCAAAAGCGTTCACGCTTGAGCGATGTAAGTGATCCGCTTGAATGCTCGAGTGCCGACCTAGTACCTGTTCTGGTTATGTCAGTCGATTGGTTCGCCTTACAGAACTACCCAGTCAGGTAGCGCTATAGACGCTTGAAACCTGCCAGGCAGTTTTTCCCACTTGTTGTAGAGAGATGTGTAGAGATTATATTCTTTACACTCACGTGCAGGGAGGGGCTGGTAAAGTGCTATCCAGGGCTCAGTGGTTAGAGCGCGAATTTACCGACCCGAAGATCCGTGGTTCGAACCCGGCCTCTGCCTCTGGACTTCCCCTCTAGGCTTGGGCAAACTGGCAGTATCCCAGCCCCCATGCTTCCTTCGGGTGGCATGGCAGCTAGGCACCGGAGGACTGCTACGGTTGAACCTTATCCAGGGCTGCTTGTTTCATGTGTCCTATGGAGAAAGTCCTCGATCTTACCAACAGTAGAAACAATGGAGTAGTGTTTTGACCATATCTCTTCTATAAACCACAGGAGCAGTAAGTTGCAAGTGGATGTACTGACCATTCCAGGTGGGTTTACGCCCGATAGTGTGGCCATAATAACTAGAAATGCCAAATTGTCGCCTAGCTCTCTTTCACAGAAACCAACTAACCTGGAGTGAGTAGACTTGAGAAGAGAGAAAAATAAACCGAAATATTTTACTGACAGAACACGCTAATCATAAAGAAGCTGAAGCATCCCCGACAACTCATGACAGGTTTGGTTCTTTCCGAGTCTCGTCAGTTCGGTGAAAACTTGGAGACAGCGCTCATCTGAGGATTCCGATGAAGGAAGAACCGTGAGTGGACTGTCGGCGATTGTTTAGTCGCCTTATGAGTAGAGTGATTTACCAGGAATATCGTACAAGGTAGACTGTGGTAAACCTCGCGCAGAACTAGCAGTTGAAGGTTACCATAAGCGAGAGTTTTAGTTGAAATTCAGTTGACCCTCCAAGCTCAGTTTGTAAGTGTATTTGGTCAGAGATCGAAATAACGATGTGGTCAACATAGCGTTTGTAACATTTAGCAAGCATGTCTTTGGTCTCCTCCCTCACACTATACAGCCGAATCCACGATGATGGTAGAACATGTTTTCTTGGCTTAAAGTATCACTCTCTTTGCTGGCACACTGTCAACCTCCTTGATCTCCCCTGGGGGCTCATTAGATAGGTGCAGTTCCTGAGATTCCGTCAGTTTGATGTTCTGCCACTTCCTGCAGTCGGAAAAATACACTCATGTGGTGTTAATGAGAGGTCTATTTGGATCTCTCTTTTACGAAAGTCTCCAGTTGAATGTTCTAACAGGGTGTGCCAACAGCTTAGACATATTTTGCACAAGAAGAATGCGAGAGGATAAGCAAATCGATGACTGCACTTTGTACGTGCGACTGCCCATTCATGGTACACCAATGTGTTCACAATGACAGTTATGTGAGGACACTTCATCACGGGACAGAGCCGTTATATCATTGGAAATTCAAGCTATTGAATCTTTCCTCAAAATGTAGTGATTCTTAGGTGTGACATCTAAATGATGATCATCTTAGTGCACTCCGATTCCTCGAACAGTCTACAGAATAAAAAAACAGTCACTCACGTCTCCTCCTGCTCAGTGTATGGAAGCAGTGACGCATGCCTGAGAAACCAGACCGTTTGCTCAGTCAGCTTTTTTAGGTTGCACATGGGCAGCATTTTGTCCCCGGTGGAACATTCAAACTTGCACTTCCAAAACGTCTGAAGACATCTCACGTAGATTATGGTGATTAGACACGTAATGAACTGGCTAATAGTATTGGAAAACCGCGACGCATTCCTTCAAACAAATCGAATGTGGATATGTGCTCCGCCTACTCAGTCGAACCAGGATGACTCATCCAAAAAACGAAAACAATCAACGACTAATCAGCAATCGATATTTCACCCCCAAGCTTTTTGCTCAATGGTGTGAGAATCGAGGATCGATCTGACAATGTATTACCAGACCATTGGGCCTGCAAGCAGCACGGCATCCAAAAACCTCGGTTTGAGCCAATCGTTGTTGACCCTGGAAAGTTTCCTATGGGATCAGGGTAGATTGCACAGTACCAGCCGATAAATTTTGCAGTCAATTTCGACCTCAGGTTAACTGTTGGAGATTCGGTCGCTTACATGAAAACCACCTAGCGAGAGAAGGTGTGAAATTTACGGTGGGTGCATAAAACTGGTTTTGTTTTTTGTAATGTACTACTCACAAGGTTGCTGAAAATCCGTCTACAACCAACGACCGGTTTCGCCCTTTTTGGGGCTCATCAGGTAAGCGCAGTCCCCGGGTTTCCGTCAACCTTATGTTCTACTTGAAACCAAATTGCACAAAATTAGCGAATATACACTCATTTGCAAACCAATTTGGTTTTTCGAGAGACTCACCTGGAACCCAGCTGAACCTCTCGTTTGTAATGTTTCCAGGCTTGGTTTTTGTTCAAAAGGCGATTTCAACAAACAGTGCAAGTAAGCGTATTCACCGACTGTTACAGAATGGGCGTTGGTTCATATTCACCCTCCATCCACATATTAGTGACAACACCATCATACTACCCCTTTATAATTTGAAACTAAATAGCAAATTACATTGTTCGAGAGAATTTTCTGGTATTTGCCCATCATAAACGCAGTGGATGCATGCAACCACTGTCCAAACGATATAAATTTTCGACGGAACTCGGCTGCTACATGGGCAATGTCACGCCGACCGAAGATAGCACGAAGGCCGGGTTGCCAAAGCATAGATAGGTGTAGTCGATATGCAGAGGCTGGGTTCGAATCAAGGACCGTTTAGTAAGTTCGCTCCCTATCCAGCCACCTCGAAACAGAACATTGCGTGATTCATGAACATCTTCATCGTCATAAACAGCAACACCAGATGAGAACGCTGGTTTGTCACTGTCGCAAAACCATATCAGTTTGCTTTAGTGAAGCCTTTTAATCGAAAGAAGAAAACAATGAGACAGGGAGGGGCCTGGGGATAGCCTTCCACATCAGAAGTGCATACACCTCTAGCAGACAATCTGATAGTATGAAAGCCGACGACATCGTTTAGTCACCATATCATTCAGTGCTTCCAGTTATGGTCAAGGAGGGCCACGTGTACCCAATTCTGGAGAGCGAGTGGCATTAGAAGCACTCAATATATGAATAGCATTCTTCACCGCCTTTGGTCATGTCACATTCTGTCCACCTCTAGCCTCCAACCATTACAAATAAGACAGGCTCACCTCGACAGGTGAGTGGCAAGGTCAAGCAAACCTATATTGTAGTGTTGGATGCATTTTTGGAGGGGAATGTCCGAAAATCCACCTCCTTGACGCTTCATTGCAAATTTGCCGATTCCAATTATACCTAGGTGACATTGATGATCAAAGACGTGAAGGTGTCATAGATCTACCACCAATCAAGAAGATAACAATGGCTTGTTTGACTGCATTCCTAAACAGGACCACGATTCCGCATTTTGTTGTGATCGACTTCGGTTTCTTTCCTCTAATTTCGGGGAATAAGTCACTGCCGGCATTCTCTTAAGACAACCTGACTAGTTGATTAGTTTTGTTTGGTTTTAATTTTTCGGCTTAAAAAGTGTTCTCATTTAACCGGTGGAAATGCAAGTAGGTGGACATTTTCAAAAGATCATTCAAAATTTTGGTATGCATAATAGAGTAAATCGATTTTGAAGAATTCGTTCCACGGTTCTAACTTTTTAAAGTTTGCCAGCCATGATATCTGGATAAACCCCGTCGAAATGCGCATACCTCACTCACATGACCGGTAATCTCAACCCACGGTGCACTTTGACCAACGGGGTGGTTATCAGTCAATCAGCAATCAAGGAGACCCCTCTCAAATATCACGTACAATCAAGTGAAGACTATTCCTCAATTTCCTCACTTCGGAGCAAAAACTCGATGAAAGCCGTACAATATGGTCAATGTTTCCCAACCCTTTATTATAAGAGGATCAGTTACATTCACAGCTGCCGTGGACAGATATGGATCTAATCTTTACACCTGCACCTCAGTTCCATTGGCCCGAATAAGACGAAACCGCATTAACCACTTAACCGTTGATGAAATATGCCTGTTGATCAATAGTGTGGCCACAACAATCACATGACGCCAGCCTGAATGTTCGTTAGTACACAAAGGTTACTGCTGACAGTGTAGAACTATTAACTGCGTTGTGTTCAAGATGTGACCCTTGTAAGCACGTGATCAGGAAGTAATGTGTTTCACATGGTTCGGATGCGCAGTTTACATGTTCCTTGTCCGGCCGCGTGGCTGGAAAAGATTTGTAGATTGATGGGTTAAGGTACGGTGTTTGGCATGCGGTTGCGCTGCTTGCATTCGCCCCAAAGTAGGCATCAGTATTTCGCGCGTTAGCTTACGTAACAAACAAGCAAACAAGCACAACCTTTTAGTTTCGCATGCCCTTGATAAAGGTTATTTTAGTTAGATAACTTAAGACGAGAAAGTGAAAAGCCACCATAAGTAGTCACCCGGCTGTCATGCTTGACATTTTGCCGGAGCACATTATGGTCACGTGAGTGAATGGATTGCGTCACAGATGACGTCCTCCATCCAGTTTCGCTGCGTGCGTTAATTTTTCGGCTTTAGACATGCGTCCCTCTGTACAAACATTTTGTGAGCGTTCCCTAAACACTCTTACTTTGGTTCAAGTTCGGGGTTCCAATTTTTGAACTCAACAACTTCAGGTTGAGGAAGAGGAACTAGCTGTGAACTTGAAAATGACCATCCTGGGTGTTCTTGCATAGTAGAAACAAAGATTCCTTTGTCAGAAACTGCCATCTGTGGCTTCTTCATCAATCCTTTGGGCCATATGATCCGACAGTTTCCTTTCAGTGCTTGTTCGCACACACCGGTTCCTACAGTGATTGCGTCATCCAAGTGCGGCAACCCACGTGGAGAGAAGACGGTGGCGCAATATTCAGCAAGCCCCAAAGACAAGCGACTAGGTTGCTATAGCTTATTCGACGCCTTATCTATACAGACAAACCAAAGATCCTTATTGCACTGTATGAACACCGTCAACGACATGATTCTTGCGTAGATTACGGAGTGGTCTGATTTATCTACCTGATCATGTCTGGGAGCTTTTAAAAGCACATATTTTGAGGGTGATCATCTAACCAAGTGAAATAAACGGCGTCGCACTGTGAACATCTCTGGAAAAATCATGGCTGGAACGAATCAGACTTTTATCGATTGCAGACGCGATTGACCCATAGCTTTAGGCCCAAAAGAAGTTCGTGCCACCTGTGATCTTGCGCTGGCCTGCGAAAAACCCTATAAACTTGTCTGAAGTTGACGTCTTTTGATTCTGGGCTACATCGACCCATGTCTTTCCTATCCGAACGCTCTCCCTAGTGTTCCTATCTTTACTTTCGTCAAGAAGTAACAGTAGTCTTCGCACGCGGTTTGATGGATTAATTGTGTGTTAGCTGAGAGGAGCAACCAAAAGCTTTGTTTACCATCTCTGTTCGTCTCATGGTATTCGGTATGGCGGATCTACATCGAGCGGTGGTGTCGGTTTCACGGGTTGGGCAATGTCTCACTGCACGGACAAGTCAGCCCGGTTCTAGCTACTTTTCCCACGACAAAAACGGAGAGAATTATCGTGAAGCCCATTTCGAAAATTACCTGGTATTGACGCTAAATAACCGATGCTCTGGTGATAGCCAGAGGCACGGAAAATTTTCGTCGGCTCAGAAGAAAACGCATAACTCGCCGACATTTCCGGATGTCTTGATGGATTGGTTAGAGATAGTACGTTCAGGCTAATATATGAACTGCGAGTAATTGAAGCGGCAGTCAGTTAGAAATTTGAATACACAAACAAGGCCCGTCTCGGGTCGTTTAATAGTGTTCCGCTGAAATACACCTTGGTTTCTTGGAGTGGACGAAGTAAAGCCACAGGAATCGTATTCTGTTAATCAAAATAGTTTGTTTCTCCTCGCAGTTATTGCCCAAATTCGTTTCGCCGTATAAAGGAACCATAAGCTTATACTGCTTCTTCCGATTGGATCCACTAGTTTGCTGGAAAACGTATCCAACCTTTAGAAAGCTCAGAAAATTTTGGAAAAATTCAATCCCATGTTCCCCTAACATTCTCTGAGAAATTAAGTGAAGCAAACAGCTTTTGTATAGTAGTCCAATTAGATTCCAACGTCAGGGTAGGTTCACCTGTTATCCCCACTGAACGTTCTGGTACTGAGCAGTCAACCAGATAATTATTCTCTTGGATATCTGCCGGGATCTTTGTTGCCAGGATGCACTTATCGGTGATTGGGCAGATGGGCGTTGGCTTGTGGGCTGAGCTTGGTGATTGGCTTGCAAACGTTTCGTCACCAATCGAAGTGATATTACCAGTGTGTGGTTGGGTGAGTTGATATAGACCTCAAGGACTAGCTGATATCAACTGCTGTGAGTGGTTGGCGGAAACGCACCTTCCTGGTAGTCCCATTGGCCAATTTCAAATTTTATTGCGTCGTGTGTATTCCTTGTAAGCAATTGGTGCGTTGATTTGTTTCTATCCGAGGACTTTTTGACTCGTACT